AAGAAAAGAAAGAAAGAAAGAAAGAAGAAAAGAAAGAAAGAAAGAAAGAAAGAAAGAAAAAGAAAGAAAGAAAGAAAGAAAGAAAGAAAGAAAGAAAGAAAGAAAAGAAAAGAAAGAAAGAAAGAAAGAAAAGAAAGAAAGAAAGAAGAAGAAGAAAAGAAAGAAAGAAGAAGAAGAAGAAGAAGAAGAAGAAGAAGAAGAAGAAGAAGAAGAAGAAAGAAGAAGAAGAAGAAGAAGAAGAAGGAAGAAGAAGAAGAAGAAAGAAGAAGAAGAAGAAAGAAGAAGAAAGAAGAAGAAGAAGAAGAAGAAGAAGAAGAAGAAGAAGAAGAAGAAGAAGAAGAAGAAGAAGAAGAAGAAAGAAGAAGAAGAAGAAGAAGAAGAAGAAGAAGAAGAAGAAGAAGAAGAAGAAAGAAGAAGAAGAAGAAGAGAAGAAGAAGAAGAAGAAGAAGAAGAAGAAGAAGAAAAAGAAGAAGAAGAAGAAGAAGAAGAAGAAGAAGAAGAAGAAGAAGAAGAAGAAGAAGAAGAAGAAGAAGAAGAAGAAGAAGAAGAAAAAGGTAAACATATTTATTGTCAGTAGTTTTTGTATGTATCAAAGTAGTTTACACATAGTTCAGGGGGTAGTTATGAATATAAAAGAACAGTTGGTATAAATTTACAAAGTAAATAACGAAAGAGTTCTGATAAACGTACTTACCCGCATGTCGTGTGAATATGTACCTGTTTAACTTAACGTTAATTGTTAAACTATGTGTACGTGTTTTAAGCGTAATTATCTTATCAATTAGTCTCTCTGTGTTCTAAACTTTAGGCCTAAGAACGCCATGGACTAAATTTCAAGTTACGACGTTGCAAGACTTCTCTATTCCTTTTAAAAAATACTAATACTTATGCTGTGTGTAAATCATGGCACAGAGGAGTCAAAATCGCCAAACCATTTCTTCGATGTTCAGTTCTAGGTCCACAATCCGGTAAATGATTTTATTGGACATTAAAGAAGCCAATGGTTTGATGGTAAGAATGGGAGAAAATCAACCAGCAGCTAGAGTGTAGTACACGAGAATAACAGGCTACATGGCAAGAGGCCGACCAAAATAGTTACCGATTGTGGTTTATAGAGACACTATGGAAATACAATATGACATTAACACAAGCTACCCAACTACAATAGTCAGGAAACTACACTAACCCCTCGTATCAGGGGCGCCGCTACGAAATAAAATATTGGGGGGGGGGTGTGGAAAGGGAGGGGGGGGGGTGGGAGCTCAGCCACGTATAATTTTCTAACCTTTGGGGACTCGAGGGGCATGAGCCAGCTTTTTGAACACACACACACACACACACACACACACACAAAATGGAGTAACTGGTCCTAACATACCCCCCCCCCCCTATTTCCCCCAGAGAGTGCTGCAACCTATGTCACATGCATTCTCTTTCTTGGAATGAAAACGAAAATGCAAGACATCACAGAAAGCAAACAACAGATCGGGGCATACCCGTAATCTTCAGGAAAGTCGACCAGCCTAACAAACTTGTGAATGAAAAGTGACCTAATATATTTGAGGACATTATCGTGAACCTAACGTCATAAAAAAAAGTATTAATTATTTTCTAAAGCTTGCTAATATACTTTTCGTTCGGTTTTATATCTTTTCCAGATGAAATGAGGTGTCGTCAAACATGAACACTATATATTTAGCCAAAGAAGAAAGTCAAGCAACACAGAGTTGTAGGATATATTGTAGATGGGATCCGAGCCCTTACGTACTTCTTTGAAGTTAGTTGCGTAACTTTTACTGGACGTCGTAGAACCAACCCGAGCATTTTTTGGCAGTTGTGGTTTTTTTTTAGTCATAGTTTACTTTCAGTAGTTTGCCAATACTCTGAACGCTCCTGGTATCATTGTCGAAACCAACGAAAGACAAACCGTCAGCAGCTGGGATCGAGCCTGGTACCCCGGCATTACGAAGCGCGTTCGCAACGCCTAAGCCACAGACCCCGACGTGCCCTGCCCGAAGTGCAGTGAGGATAATCTGTTGATTAACTAACTAACTAACTAACTAACTAACTAACTAACTAACTAACTAACTAACTAACTAACTAACTAACTAGTTAGATGTAGTCTCATGCCTTGCAGCCTGCTGTTCTCGTGTAACACGCTATAGCTACTAGCTCATTTTGTCCAGTTGTCACCAGATAATCAAACCATTTGATTCTGTGATGTTCTATTAAATCATTCAGGCAGACTGATTCTTCCCCCCACCCTCATCCCCCAATCCCTTTCGCTGTCATACCATCAAAACCCGCAGACAAGAAAACACACAACAAACAAAGCGAATACATCGCTCCTGAAACCCTGCATAGAATCGTACAAATGTATACATTTATTTGTGAAACGATTGTTATAATTCGAGTAAAAACGAATTAGCTCTTGATCCATCTTTACACGTGCAACAATTGATAAAAGTTTAAAACAATGCACATGACTAATAAGGCGATATGTATATCAACAGTCTCTTGCATTTAAAAAAAAAAGATAATGATCTAGGATCAACGTACTCACAAACACAAAAAAGACAAGGTTCCATTATTCACCAAGTGCTCACAAAACATTCAAAGCTGCCAACAGACTTGGGAACGTTCATGTGATTAATTTGAAAAAACTGGTATCTGGAATGTTATATGAGGAATTTGAAGGCAAAATAAGAGGTCGACTACGCAACTGATGGATAGATGAAATATCTGATGTCTTAAATACCAGCATCTACGATGTACACACCAAGACTCGAGCCCGATGCCTTTTCTAAACCTGACCTACTAATCTATTACCAACTGACTGACCATGATCGGCTCCAGTTGACGGGCCGTGCTGCTGACGTCACCGGTTTGGGCTAACGATGCGTTAACGCAGTGGTTCTCAAAAAATAAACTACTTTCGACATTGGCGAGGGAAGGACAACTTAAATTTTAACTTTTAAGTACATGCCTTATTTAAAATTTTCAAAACTTTTAGCCGACTTTTCTTGATTACTGCCGCGGCACCCCTGGCACACGCTCACAGCACCCCGGGGTGCCCTGTCACCCTGTTTGATAACTGCTGCGTTAATGCATGTTTAGCCTGACCTGGTTACGTCAACAGCAGGGCCCCCGGTCGTGGACTGACTGACGTTCAACCACACCAGGACATCACACTGAGCGATAAACACCCAGTGACACAAAGTACCAGTGTGCTGAATGAGGGTCACCCGGGGACAGGTCCCAGAAACCCCGTTCAACCCATTGGTTGGATTATATTAAGGCCTCTGGCAATAACCAGTTTGGGGCTTTCAAACAATAAAAATTGCCTCCGTGCGTCTTGGCGCAGATGTACTCGATTTATTACCAACAGATGAAGACAACATTCAAACTAATCGGAAAGCAACCAAAACTGGCACAAGCGATTTCCATATTATGGACTTACCAGAGCAAGTCATTATTCTTTGCCATACAACTTGGCTGCTACATGTACACACAATTTGAGATTAGCGAATCATCCATGTGGACATGGGGACTGGCACTTGAGACAACAGATCACGTTCTCTGAGACTGTCCCAAGTACACCATTTCCAGGCAAAACTTCTAGCCAAGAGAAACATCGATGAAAGTTTAACTTGAGTGAATGACAAAAGACAATGAAGTTCTTACTAATGCCGACATTGCGGATATAGATAATCTATTTCAAGCGAACGAAAGAAGGAGAAGCAGATAGCTGACGCTGAAGGGTAGGACATGTCTTGATGAGACGAAGAATAAAGGTTAATGGTGACATCCGCACATGTCTAAGACCAGTTACACTCGAATGGTGATGGGTAATTACACCATCTACAGCCTATATTTTCCAGAATATTTCCCAGTATCCACTTTAGGTTGGATCCATCTGAAAATGTTGACACATTTTCAAAGTCGTTAGTCAGTCGTTAGTCGATGTTCCTACATCGCTGCAAACAGTTCGTTCCATAGCTGCCACATCATTGTGCCAGTCAAGATCTTGTCAGTCTAAGCAAAATCTTCAAGCTTGCACAAGGAAAGTAAAATGTCTAAGGCAGTTGTGCTAACACTAACGGTCCCAAGCAAGAATTTCAGCTCATTGTTGGCGAAATCGGTCCCTTTTTTTTAAATTGTGACTTTTAAAACGAATAGGGATTCCAACACACGATGACCAGGTCAACAGGCAAGCGTTCTAACCTTGAGAGAAGAGGAAAGGTGTTTGAAATGTTGGATATTTTGAAATCAGAGACACTTTTTATAAAGCCTGAATAGTTGCACACGTCTCGGAAAGATTGCATTAATGAACAGTGAGTGTTTGGTATTTCAGATATCTCTCTCTCTCTCCACTTGACTGAAATCTTGTTGAACATCTAGAACATAGACTTGGCAGATATATGACACGTGTTTGAAGATAAACGTCATAGAAAACTACGGTGAAAAATTCCATGTGCACCGTCTCAATATTGGACACAATTTTTCGTCTTTTTAAAGCTCCACCCACGCTGTGATCCTCATCCGAATGGTGGCACTTCGTGTCACCGGCTGTTGGACACTCGATGTGTTAATTAAACACAAGTGGAAAATTAGGTCAAGATGGCTGCCACAAATCTAGAGAGCATAAAATCAAACTAAACACGTCTGTGTTATTGTTGAGTGTTTTGTTGTTGTTGCTATTGTTGTTATTGTGAGAAAGTAACAAAATAATTGAGATAATTTAATACATCATCATATACATATAATCGCAAACATTCCATTACTTTATTCCCATAGTCAACCATGCTAATCTCACGCCTTGTATCACTTCAGACAGTCACTAGTTTGGTTGAAGCCATGGAACCAGCAGGGTATGTAGAGAACGGTACATGGTTATAAGAAAGACATCACAACTTTTGATACCAAAAGATACTGATTGTAGTAAAAATCAACAAGCTTGTAAATAAAATATTTGATCAAGGCAGCGCTGGTAGGTCTTTCTAGATGGGCATTACTTTACCGTCATATTTGTAGACGATGATAGCAAAAATTACTTCTATCAGCTGAAATAAAAAGTAACGTGTCAATTACTGTAAATAACATGTCAAATACTGTAGATAACGTGTCTACTACTGTAAATAACATGTCAAATACTGTAGATAACGGGTCAACTACTGTAAATAACATGTCAAATACTGTAGATAACGTGTCTACTACTGTAAATAACATGTCAAATACTGTAGATAACGTGTCTAATGATGTAAATATGTAAAATACTGTAGATAACATGTCAAATACTGTGGATAACGTGTCTAATGATGTAAATATGTAAAATACTGTAAATAAAGTGTCAAATATTGTAGATAGCGTGTAAAAAACTGTAAATCAAGTGTCAAATACTGGAAATAACATATTAAATACTTCAAACAGCTTGTCAAATACTTTAAATAGCGTGTCAAATCCTGTAGATAACGTGTTAAATACTATAGATACTGTGAGAAATACTGTAGATAACGTGTCAAACACTGTAAAAAAGTGTCAAATACTGGGAATTACATGTTACATACTTCAAATAACATGTCAAAGAGTTTGAATAACGTATCAAATGCTGTAAATAAAGTGTCAAATACTGGGGATTATATGTCACATACTTTAAATAACGTGTCAAATAGTGTGTATAACGTGTCAAACAATGTAAAAACGTAGCCTGTACTGGGAATTACGTGTCACATACAATAAATAACGTTTCAAATAGCATTAATAACGCGTAAAATATTGTAGATCACGCGACTAACCAGTTGTAGAACACTGATCTACACAACAGAAGATACTTCGGACAACACACGATTCTCTACACAAAACACGATTCTCTACACAACACACGATTCTCTACACAACACACGATTCTCTACACAACACACGATTCTCTACACAACACACGATTCTCTACAAAACACACGATTCTCTACAAAACACACGAGACTTAAGATAACTATATACACAAGATACTTTATACACAAGATACTATACACACAAGTTACTAAAGATAACTACACACAAGATGCTCTTCACACAAGATACTAAAGATAACTTCAGACACTAGATACTCTAAACACAAGATACTCTACACACAAACTGTTTCTTTTGTTGTCTCACTGATACCAGGTTGTAGCCCAGTGTCGTGGTTTTATGTATTTGTCTTGCACTTTTCGGGTGGTTTGAGTGATAGATTTGTTCAACTTTTTGCAGGTTTCTGCTACACCATTTATCCATCTCTTTCTTGGTCTTCCTCTCGCCTTCTTCCCATATATTCTACTGTAAAAAGTATCATCTGCAGCCTGGTCTGGCTGCATTCTCATTAGATGGCTGAACCATTTCAATTACTGTCTGTCAATATAATCCAGACATAGTCTTATTTCAACTGTCTCTCTAAAGCTGGAATGGGTAATCCTGTCTCGTATAGAGTTGTTAGTGACCTTGCGGAGACAGAGCATTTCACACGTAGTTATTTTCTGTTCTAGTGCCATATTCATTGTCCATGTTTGTGCGCTTATGTGATTGTCCAAGTGCTATGATGTCAGTTCTTAGCGCAACACTTAGTAACAATCAAACAAAAATATGACTTTGTGTAGTTTTAAGACTGGCAGTGTAATATTGATGAAATTACCTGGAGCAGTAGAATACCAGCTAGTGCCAAACCTGCCCATACAATGTTCTGGTCGATGAGGTCAGTCAGTTTCCTATAGCAACCCTGCACAAACAGAAGGTCTGGCTTATAATTACTAATAAAAAGAGGCCCGTTCTTACACGAACCGTTAATTGGTCAGTTAATTGACTAATTGTATTCGTTGCTTGTCAGCGCCTGTGGCTTAGGCGTTTCGAACGAGCTTTGTAATGCCGGGGTGCCGGGTTCGATCCCAGCTGCGGGACTTGCGCTTTGCGTTGGTTTTGACAGTGGTATCGAGAAGCCGACCGTCCAGGAAGCAATGGCAAACTACCGGGCGTACATTTGCTTAGAAAAACCACAACAGCCAAAAAATGCAGTTGTTGGTTCTGCAACGTCCTGTAAAGGATACGCAACTAACCATCATTCATTGCCCATCGGACAAGTTCATTAGCGTTCGGATCCCATATTTAATAACTCCCTCAGCGTGTGGCGACTGACAGCATGAGTTCTGTACTATTTTACTATTATTCTTCGGCTGCCTGTCTAGTGTTCATGTCTAGCGACACCTCTTTTTTCACGAAGTTCCTGTAGTCTTTTTCAGGCTTATCCAGATTCATTGTCATCTCCTGAATCATCTACTCGTTCTGCCTCCCCTAGAGCACTAAGAACACTATCCAATGCCTCAAGTTTTTCTGTACCTATCGTGGCCCTTCCAGCTAGCCAATCCGCTCTTTCATTCCCCATACCCAATTGTGCCCTGGCGAAAGGAAAAGAACATGACATGAAAAGTATTTTGTGCCAGTCCCATACATCTAAACCAGTCGGCGATGCGGGTGACGTGCTCAGCACAACATCCATTGCCTTTACTTCCCAGGAAAAGTCTTTGTTCCCATGTTATGTTTGACTCTTTAAGCCAACAGTGCACTGCAGTTCTTTCTTTTTGCTCATATTCCATGGCAATGCCGTCAAGGTTTATATATAGCCCATCGTCTCTCGGCTTTCGTAAAGTCAAACTGCATCTTAACCCCTCTAAAACATTATTGTGTATGGGGGTGCGTTTTTTTAAGGGGGGTTGTGGTGGAGGGATCCCTCCCCCCCCCCCCCCACAAACTATTTTCCTAGAAACATGACACAGGCGGCCTGATTCCTTCCCCCTCCCCCCCCCCCCAATCAGTTTAATTTTTCATCATTATCATCATAAACCACTTCTGCCATTAAACGCCGTAGGGAGAAATATATGCGACCCAGTGCACGTTGGCTGCCACCGGCTATTGTCATGCCGTGAAGGCGTAGAGTGTCTTTAAAGTTGTCGATCCATGTTTTCCGCGGCCGACCTCTTGTTCTTGCAGCTGATCTTCTGAGATGTAGTGCTTGTAATGGTATTTGATCTTGCTGCATTCTAACGAGATAGCTGAACCACTTGATCTGCTGTTTCTCGATGAATCCAATATGAATACCCCCAATTATTTCCTAATTTACAGGCGGGCTAAGAGGTATGAGGCCCCCTCCTCCCCCCCCCCCCCCCCCCCCCCCCCCCCCCCCCCCCCCCCCCCCCAAAAAAAAAAAACCTGCCTGCCTAATGTTTAAAAGTTTGTGGTTACAGCGAGGGCGGGCTGAGCGCCTTCTATACCCACCTCCTTCCTCTTTTGCACAACTATTTTTGTGGCGGCGTGCCTATGTAGGAACATTTCAGTTGATATTGTCCCTTTCGCTGTTTCTATCCTTGTTGATACGTATAATCTGTTCTTCTTCCAACTGTTTACCGGCTGTTAACTCCGGTGAAAGGTTCTGGTTGTTCGTCCACTTCTGGACTGTAGTGTTGTTTCAATTCTCGATTTTTGCGTGGACAGTTGTTTTACAAATATGATTTATTTGTATGCACACTGTTGGTCTCTTTCCCCCTGAGGTAGATGCACTCCGACTGCGAAAAAAACACCCTAAATAATCCCGTCATCCCTTTCTTGGATGCAATTTTTCGTTATTTGAAGCCCTACTCTGGCTCTTGCCGGAGGCCGCAATATAGCCTGACCATAAATATGGCCTAAAGGCTAAACGCGGTTTCTGGGACCTCTCCACTGGTTATCCTCATCCACAATGTGGCACATTGTGTTATCGGGTGTTTATCGCTTGTGTGATGTCCTGGTGGGGTAAAAGAAGATAAAAAGATAAGGAAACATCCATAATCTATCGCCTCCTATATCAGGCGTATTAGGAACAGGGTCTTATCAATATTTAGATAATATAATTCAATTTCATCTTTCTCAGGACGAAATTTGTTGTTGTTTGAAGCCCCACCCTGGCTTTTTCCTAGGGGCCGCAATATAGGCAGGCCATAAATATGGCCAATTGTCTGAACGCGGTATCTGGGACCTCTCCACGGCGATCCTCATCCACATAATGGTACTTTGTGTCATCGGGTGTTTATCGCTTGTGTGATGTCCTGGTGGGGTAGAAAGTCAGTCAGTCAATCAGGGGTCTTATCTCTCCCCCTCCCCCCGGGCCACAAATGGGGCTTCAGCACCAACACGGAAAATGGGGTGTGGGGAGAGGTTAAATGAAAAGATTATATTGCCAAAATTACTTGCTTTATTCTTTTATTCTGTTTTCTACTAAAATCTGTTAGCCCGTTTTGTGGCTTAACATGATCAAAGTGAGAACACATCATCATCATCATTATCATCATCATCATCATTATCATCATAAACCACTTGAGAGAACAGCAGATGCAAACAGCACAAAAACTCCAAAGGTGAAAATAATTCAGTGGTACCAATAACATTGTTATAAGAATAGCCCTCATAATAATAATAATAATAATAATAATAATAATAATGGAAATTAATAATAATAATAATAATAGCAATCAAAAGTAGCTTTAGAGATTACATTTGCACACACCTTGTTTACATTAGCTGCTTCACACGATCTAGGAGGATTCAAAACCGTAAAATCCTGGATACTGTCTACTCCACAGCATTTGAACTGAAATATAAATATTTAAATATATATAAAAAACGTCTATCTATCTATCTATCTATCTATCTATCTATCTATCTATCTATCTATCTATCTATCTATCTATCTATCTATCTATCTATCTATCTATCTATCTATCTATCTATCTATCTATCTATCTATCTATCTATCTATCTATCTATCTATCTATCTATCTATCTATCTATCTATCTATCTATCTATCTATCTATCTATCTATCTATCTATCTATCTATCTACTATCTATCTATCTATCTATCTATATATCTATCTATCTATCTATCTATCTATCTATCTATCTATCTATCTATCTATCTATCTATCTATCTATCTATCTATCTATCTATCTATCTATCTATCTATCTATCTATCTATCTATCTATCTATCTATCTATCTATCTATCTATCTATCTATCTATCTATCTATCTATCTATCTATCTAATTTGTCTGTCTGTCTGTCTGATCTATCTAATCTGTCTGTCTGTCTGTCTGTCTGTCTGTCTGTGTCTGTGCCTGTGTGTCAGTTTGTGTCTGTGCGTGTGTGCGTGTTTGTCTCTGTGTGTATGTCTCTGTGTGTATGTGTGTGTCTGCGTGTGTCTGTGTATGTCTTTGTATCTGTGTGTGTTTGCCTGTTTTTGTTTATGTCAGTGTGTTTTTAAACCTAGACTTGTACATGTAGAATTCTCATACTTGAGGTTCTGCTCCAGCGAGCTATGCTGGATGGCACTAATTGCAATGAAACCAAACTGAAAGTTTTTTGGCAGATGACATTGCTTCGTTTAGCTCAGGGGTTTCCAATTGTTGGTTTTATGGGGTCCGTGATATCGTCGTACACAGTCGGCTCTGTGGCTAGGTCGATGCGAACGCTTTGTAATGCCGGGGTGCCAGGTTCGATCCCAGCTGCGGGCCATGCGCCTTGCGTTGGTTTCGACAGTGGTATCAAAGAAGCCGACCGTCCAGAGGCAATGGCAAACTATTGGAAGTAAAATTGCCTATAAAAACCACACAACAGCCAGGGGCTGTTAGGGTTGGTTCTGCAACGTCATGTAAAGGATACGCAACTAACCTGATATAGTATAAAAACAACAAAAAACAAAAACAACAATAACAACAGCAACCCACAACCCTATAGTTGCGTTTCTATTATAAAGAATAAAGTTCAACCCCGCAAGGACACCACACAAGTGATAAACACCCGGTGACCCAAGGCTTGCGACTGGGATAGAATCCCTCAGGCGCAAGACCCAGAAACCCGGTTCCACCGTTAGGTTATATTATAGGTAAGTAGGTAGGTAGTTGTATTCCACCAGGACATTACACAAGCGATAAACACCCGGTGGTACAAAGTGCCACCATGCGGATGAGGATCACCCGTGGAGAGGTCCCAGAAACCCCTTTCAGACGTTAGGCCATTTCTATAGCTAGGCTATTTCTATGCCCCGGTTATATGCAGGGCCACCCTGGGTCACCCCGAAACGTTCTGGCCAACGGGGATCTGGTGAAGTTGCAACAGGCCTAGCAAGCCGGCAATGGATTTATTATCGCTACAGAAAACACAATGAGATATAAACGGATACCATACAAAGCATACATGGAAAGAGAAGAAGGACGTAGAGCACGGGGTAGACCAAGAACAAGATGGAAGGATAACATCAGAGAAGCTCTACAACAGCACGATGTGCCTATGGTCGAGGCGGCCAGAAAAGCCAGAAACAGAACCTTATATCTCCTTCGACACCCACAGCGGTAAAAGAGGAAGTGAAGAAGAAGAAGAAGAAGAAGACAACATCCGGAGTGGGGATTTAAATTAAAAAAAAAAAATTGTGTCCCATCTTGGGAATGTACATCCCATTTTCTGTTAAAGATTTACTCTCGTATTTATACGACTATTGAAATGTATGCCGTCTGGGATAAAAAGTGATTCCGCGGTCTCATATCTTGAAAACCATTGATTAAGTTAGTTTATGTTTAAAGGCGAACTCATGAAGGTCGCACGCACGGTGCAGCTGGGAGAGGCTTTCAAATGCACACAGAGATCAATGGCAGAAATAGTCTTAATGGTAGAAGGTGTTGTGATCAAGAGAAAGAGAAAGAAGATTTTAAAAAAGTGGGTCATATTGAGAGAGAGAGAGAGAGAGAGTTAGAGAGAAAGAGAGAAAGAGAGAGAGAGAGAAAGAGAGAGAGAGAGAGAGAGAAAGAGAGAGAAAGAGAGAGAGAGAGAGAGAGAGAGAGAGAGAAAGAAAGAAAGAAAGAGAGAGAGAGAGAGAGAGAGAGAGAGAGAGAGAGAGAGAGAGAACGAACGAACTTTATTTCCAAAGGGTTCAAAATTTGGCACTCAGACCCGTCGTAAATTCGACATTTTCAAGCATTCATCTTTCATACGCCAATTCTATTATATATATTAAGTATATTATGTTCACATGGTGTGTGTGTGTGAGAGAGAGAGAGAGAGAGAGAGAGAGAGAGAGAGAGAGAGAGAGAGAGAGAGAGAGAGAGAGAGAACACTCAAATTGTAGACCTAATGACACGGAGGTTCGTTGCCGAGAAGTTCGAGAAGAAAACTAATAAAAACCTGGGGCTGTGAAAGAAAGGCGATACGCTTCGACGAGTCACATGATGATATTGAAGACAATACGTACATATTTATTGACCAAGTTGATCGTCATGCTGAAAGAATCTTTCCCATCACTCCTGAATTCGTTCTTGATCCTGTTCTTTAGTTCTGTTCTCAGCGAGGTGTGAAGCTGCCATAGAAGATGTGTTAGATCATGTCAACGATTACCGGATGCAGTCCAGCGAAGGTAAGGCATAGATATGCAAGTCAACGCGGGGCTCGTGTGTGTGTGGTAGGAAGATAGGGCAAATCTCAGCATAGGTGAGAGTTTGAATCTTCCAAACACCAAGATTTGCCAAACCTGTCAGTGTGCGTATGTGTGTCTGTGTTGTGCATGAGCGTGGATTGTGTCTGTTTTAAACACTTTTTAACAGTTTTTGTTTTTAAAATTACAAATTGAAAATGTGTTGCTACCTTTTGGTACCTTTTAAATTTGATACCACTCCCACAACATTTTCGGTAGCCCTGGTTCGGAAACAGAGAGGGGGCAATTGGGAAGGGGGGTGGGGGGTGGGGGGATCTTCCCAAAAACTTTCTTTAAAAACAAAAACTTCTGGCGCCAATGTTGCACATTCTCACTGCACTTAGTGCTATTGGGCATGTTGTATTTAGGCTTCATATATTGTAGAGGTGCGGTGGCCAGTTACTTGTCGCCTTTCGTTTGCAAACAATTTTTATAAAAGGGTTATTTGGCATACTTCCAGGACACAGATCGGCGACCGGGTCGCCCTTTGTCTTGGCTCGCTGGTTTGTTTGTTTGTTTGTTTTAGTATCCAGAAGCCAAGAGTTGTTAACCCTTAGGCTCGGTATTACGGATATCGCAAACCTTTCGGCCTTGATTCCATTGTAAATACTGTACATCTGGGAGAAATGTGGCTTTTCTGCCTACCCCCGGGCGTGAACCCGGACTACAAGGACTTCGTTACCCGGTCACTGCGCAATCCGGTTTAGCCAACTACGCTAGAGAGCCGGGCATGGCTCGCCGGTAAACGATATTGTCGCTGGTACGGACTTCATTTGGGTCTGCCTCAGGGACGCCAATACTGGGTTTTTGCTCCCCAGATCTGGCTTTTATTTGACGCCTTGGGGAAATCTGGTTTTATTTCTCCAAAATATAACAAACAGTAAGACAGAGAGAATATACAAACACACATAATTCCAGTCAGATAGATAAACAGTTGGACAAACAGTAAGACAGAGAGAATATACAAACAGACATAATTCCAGTCAGATATATATACAGTTAGACAAACAGTAAGAAAGAGAGAATATACAAACAGACAGATTGCCAGACAGACAGACAGACAAACTTACTGGGGAGTTAGTCACGTAGAAAAGCGTACCGACAACAATCTCGGCAATCATTAAGAGAACAATGATGGCAGCGAACTGAAACAGATCACCATAAATTAATACTCTGACAATATGTATATTGCGTCTATTGTCCCCCTGCAAACCAACTTGGTTTAACGGACAAAAAACGGCGACTACCAGCAGGGTTTGCGGAAAGCCTTGAGCACCGCAACGCACCAAAGAAGCCCTGGTCACTGAAACCGAACACTCCACCAGAGTTCATCTCCAGACATCTTGATTCGTCTTGCCTGTGGAATTAGATGGACTACGGCGAACGAACGAACAAACTTTATTTTCAAAGGGTTACGAATTGGGCACGTAGGCCCGTCTGACATTCGGCCCTTCTAATTACTCGTTTTTCAGAGCACCAATGCCTGTTATCTAAAATGCATGTTATGGATGTAGAATACAAATGTACATTATAGAATATAATACATACATCATGTGTACACAGTCTTACACACTCACACACACATATATATATGCTCTCACATTCTCATACATGCACACTCATATACAGACATACGAGAGAATGAGGTTGACGAACTGCGCAACTCTTCCTCACTTAAATCAAAATCACTACTGAAGCCATCCCTTCATTCATCCCTCAACTAATTCAGTCCCCAGTGGATGAAAGGACTGGTCACCTTCAACTATCACGGGCGAACGAGAACTAAAGAAATCCATGGAAACGAGTTAAAGTAGACATTTTTAGGTCATGCATCTTTCCCGTGGCAACTTAATAGATGGGAGTCGTTGATTCTAACTCAAGCAATGAAGACAGAAGTCAAAGCTTTTGAATTGTGACAGAAAAATTATTAGAATATAACGGACCAAGAAGAAGAAAAAAACCGGTATCCTTCATAATTCGAACATCGAAGAAAACTGGCTCATAAACAGCAGCCTATCCCGAGGGCTGAGGTATTCTGGCCGTGCTAAACTCCAAGGTGGCCTGGAGGGAAAAAAAGGGGTGGGGTGGGGGGGGGGGGGGAAGGAAACGTTGTTGGATGACAAAGTTTCTGGAAAACGAGGCACTTCTTTTCTTTTTCTCGCTCATCGTCTGTAAAACCCGATAGAATGTTTGGTTGTTTGTCAATCTCTGGACTTTAGTCTGGTTCCCAAATTTGAATGTTGCGTGCACGTCCGTCTTTCAGATCTGACTAATTTCTAAGTAGAATGTTGGTTCTTTTCCTTAAATCCAAGGCTGGTGCTCTCCGACTTCAAATGAATCCCCTAATGAGTCGGCTTTTACGACATGCTTGTTAGGGGCCAGTGGGTATATTCTTGCGCCGTCCCCCCCCCCTCCCTCCCTCCCAGCAGCAATGAGCCCCATTGCTCACGCCAATTTGTTTTTTGTTTTTTGTTTTCAAGTATCCAGAAACCACTAGTTGTCAACCCTTTGGCTCGGTACTATGGATATCGCAACCCTTCGGCCTTGATTCCATTATAGGTACCGTTAATCTGGGAGAAATGTGGCTTTTCTGCCTACCCCCGGGAGTGAACCCGGACCACAAGGAGTTCGTCACCCGGCCGCCGCGAAAGTCAGGTTAAACCAACTACGCTAGAGAGCCGGGCCTTCACGCCGATAAATAGGGATGTAAAAATTAGAAATCCAAGAAAGCATACATAGTTATTTCCCTTACCACGACCAGCATCCATTTACAACAGGAAGTGCAACAGGAACCGCACCAGCCCAGGAGACTGAGGCCGAACAGGAAGATGCCGAACGCCAGCAAGGCAATGCCGATCTGATAGACAAGTGGGATGTCTTTGAATTCTTTGGCGTTCTCGGGAACATTATAATTATCCTTTTCTGCAAACATTTAACATATAAGTGACAACATGCGAATATGATAGTTATAATAGTATATTATTGATAACATGATAATATAGTAGTATCTTCCCTATATGGGATGAAATTTGTCGTTATTTTGAAGCCCCATTCCGGCTGTTACCGGGGACCCAAAAATAACCTAACGGTTAAATGGGGTTTCTGGGACCTCTCTTCAGGTGTTCCTCATCCGAATGACGGCACTTTGTGTCACCGAGTGTTTATTGCTCAGTGCGATGTCCTGGTGGGGCACAAAGTCAGTCATTCATTATACCTTGCTTCCCGTCCTATTGGGGGACGCAGTTTTCGTTTTAAAACCCCACCCTAAGTGTAGTGGCGGGGGGGGGGGTGTAATATAACCTAACGATTGAACGGGGTTTTGGGGACATGTGCCCGGGTAATCCTCATCCGAATGGTGGCACTTTGCGTCACCGGGTGTTTGTCCCTCGTGTGGTCCTGGTGGAGTTAAACGTCAGTCGTCAATATGACAATTAATGAAAACATTTTGAGGTCGACCTCGCAGAATATGGACCGTAGAATTATTAGAGACATTAAAAAGTACATGTACAACGCGAATAAAAGGGAAAGTTCAAGAGATCGCTTCACGCCCTGACGCCGCGAGGCATTCCAGGAGTAGAGAAAAGAAGAAGAAGAAGAAGAAGAAGAAGAAGAAGAAGAAGAAGAAGAAGAAGAAGAAGAAGAAGAAGAAGAAGAAGAAGAAGAAGAAGAAGAAGAAGAAGAAGAAGAAGAAGAAGAAGAAGAAGAAGAAGAAGAAGAAGAAGAAGAAGAAGAAGAAAGAAGAAGAAGAACAAGAAGAAGAAGAACAAGAAGAAGAAGAAAAAGAAGAAGAAGAAGAAGAAGAAGAAGAAGAAGAAGAAGAAGAAGAAGAAGAAGAAGAAGAAGAAGAAGAAGAAGAAGAAGAAGAAGAAGAAGAAGAAGAAGAAGAAGAAGAAGAAGAAGAAGAAGAAGAAGAAGAAGAAGAAGAAGAAAAAGAAAAAGAAGAAAGAGAAGAAAAAGAAAAAGAAAAAGAAGAAGAAGAAGAAGAAGAAGAAGAAGAAGAAGAAGAAGAAGAAGAAGAAGAAGAAGAAGAAGAAGAAGAAGAAGAAGAAGAAGAAGAAGAAGAAGAAGAAGAAGAAGAAGAAGAAGAAGAAGAAGGAGAAGGAGGCGGAGGAGGAAGAAAGGAACAAGAACAAGAAGAACAAGAAGAACAAGAATGGGAAGAACAAGAAAAAGAACAAGAAGAACAGAATCACTATTTACATTTGCCCTCGGCTTGTAGAAAAGCAGCCTACACCAAGCAGAAAATGCAGGACCAATAACTGACTGTTTTTCTACCCCACCAGGACATTGCACAAGTGACATAATGTGCCACCATATGGGTGAGGATCACCGTGGAGAGGTCCCAGAAACCGCGTTCAGCCATTAGGCTATATTTATGGCCTGGCTATATAGCGGCCCCTGGCAAGAGCTAGGGTGGGGCTTCTAATGACGAAAAATTGCATCCTAAAAAGGACGGTGAATATATCAGGCCCAATGCAAAAAAGACAAGGCCAAGCCTTGCCCCCAGCTACGAGTGTGTAAGTCAAGACATTATAATTAATACTTACGAATTCAAGAACGGTTAAATAAACACACACATACACACACTCACACGCACATGATGCACACACGCACCCCCCCCCCCCCCCACACACACACACACGCACATGATGCACAACCACGACCATCAACAGTTACAACACTGAGAAGATTGGGTTAGGCTGTAAAACTTCTGAGTACAAACGAACAAACTCGCCAAACAGGCAGTGAAACAGGAAATGTATAGTTTAGTTTAGTCGACGGATCATTATCGTGGCACACGTGTGTAAACCTATAAGTGCTCCGTTCTAGTTTTAACCCATGCCAGAAGAATCTCAGAAAGGTGCACGAATTCCGTTGCACCGGCGAGGATCCTGAAATACTTTTAGGTAGTGCAACCCGGCGTTTCGGAATTACGAAGCGCCTAGGTCATAGACGCCAGTAGAAATAAGTTAACAGGTAGGAAGACATAAAAATAGTTTGACAGATATATAGACAAACTGGAAAGAAAACAAAATGACACACAGGTAGATAGTCATAAACATAATTTGACAGATATATAGACGAACTGGAAAGAAAACAAACTGACACACAGGTAGATAGATATAAACATAATTTGACAGATATATAGACAAACTGGAAAGAAAACAAACTGACACACAGGTAGATAGATATAAACATAATTTGACAGACATATAGACAAACTGGAAAGAAAACAAACTGACACACAGGTAGATAGATATAAACATAATTTGACAGACATATAGACAAGCTGGAAAGAAAACAAAATGACACACAGGTAGATAGATATAAACATAATTTGACAGACATATAGACAAGCTGGAAAGAAAACAAAATGACACACAGGTAGGTAGACAAGTAAGCAGACACTTGACAAACCTGCAGACTTCTTTATTTCCTGGTATGCCGGCTCTATGAACGTGCTGGGTACAAACGCCAAAATGACACCGCCGGCAATTAGGGCAGCAGCGATTATCTGGCCACCGGTGAAGAAAGAAAAAAATTAATAATATTAACAAATTATGAACCGCATTTGAAAAATAATGTGTGAGGGAAATGTAGATTACTAAAAGGGAATAATTCAAAAAGGAACGAAGAAATAAAAGAAATTAGAACTGTCTGGGCGACCACTAGTAGCAACATTTAGGAGACAAAGAAGGTGGCTTTATATTGGACACATCCTGAGAGTAAACGGAGAATGACTAGACAGACAATAAAATAGGAGATAAGGGAAATGAGGAAACGAGAACATACAAAGGAAACCGTAAAACGATCGTTAGTGAGGGCGTTAGCAAGCGTTATTGAAAGTGTTAGTGAAAGAGTTAGTGAGAGCGTTAGTGAGCGTGATAGTGAGAGTGTTAGCGAGCGTTATTGAAAGTGTTAGTAAAAGCGTTAGTGAGAGCGTTAGTGAAAGCGTTAGTGAGCGTTATTAAAAGTGTTAGTGAAAGCGTTAGTGAGAGTGTTAGTGAAAGCGTTAGTTAGAGTGTTAGTGAACGCGTTAGTAAGAGTGTTATTGAAAGTGTTAGTGAAAGTGTTAGTAAGAGTGTTAGTGAGAGTGTTAGTGAGAGTGTTAGTGAGAGTGTTAGTGAGAGTGTTAGTGAGAGTATTATTGAAAGCGTTAGTGAGAGTGTTAGTGAGAGTGTTAGTGAAAGCTTTAGTGAGAGTGTTAGTGAACGCGTTAGTGAGAGTGTTAGTGAAAGCGTTAGTTAGAGTGTTATTGAAAGTGTTAGTGAGAGTGTTAGTAAGAGTGTTAGTGAGAGTGTTAGTGAAAGCGTTAGTTAGAGTGTTAGTGAACGCGTTAGTAAGAGTGTTATTGAAAGTGTTAGTGAGAGTGTTAGTAAGAGTGTTAGTGAGAGTGTTAGTGAGAGTGTTAGTGAGAGTATTATTGAAAGCGTTAGTGAGAGTGTTAGTGAGAGTATTATTGAAAGTGTTAGTGAGAGTGTTAGTGAGAGTGTTAGTGAGAGTGTTAGTGAGAGTGTTAGTGAGAGTATTATTGAAAGCGTTAGTGAGAGTGTTAGTGAAAGCGTTAGTTAGAGTGTTAGTGAACGCGTTAGTAAGAGTGTTATTGAAAGTGTTAGTGAGAGTGTTAGTAAGAGTGTTAGTGAGAGTGTTAGTGAGAGTGTTAGTAAGAGTGTTAGTGAGAGTGTTAGTGAGAGTGTTAGTGAGAGTGTTAGTAAGAGTGTTAGTGAGAGTGTTAGTGAGAGTATTATTGAAAGCGTTAGTGAGTGTGTTAGTAAGAGTGTTAGTGAAAGCTTTAGTGAGAGTGTTAGTGAACGCGTCAGTAAGAGTGTTATTGAAAGTGTTAGTGAGAGTGTTAGTAAGAGTGTTAGTGAGAGTGTTAGTGAGAGTGTTAGTGAGAGTATTATTGAAAGCGTTAGTGAGTGTGTTAGTAAGAGTGTTAGTGAAAGCGCTAGTGAGAGTGTTAATGAGAGTGTTAGTGAGAGTGTTAGTGAGAGTGTTAGTGAGAATGTTAGTGAGAGCGTTAGTAAGAGTGTTAGTGAGAGTGTTAGTGAGAGTGTTATGAGAGTGTTATTGAAAGTGTTAGTGAAAGCGTTAGTGAGAGCGTTAGTGAGAGTGTTAGTGAGAGCGTTAGTGAGAGTGTTAGTGAGAGTGTTATTGAAAGTGTTAGTGAAAGCGTTAGTGAAAGCGTTAGTGAGAGCGTTAGTGAAAGCGTTAGTGAGAGTGTTAGTGAGAGTGTTAGTGAAAGCGTTAGTGAGAGTGTTAATGAGAGTGTTAGTGAGAGTGTTAGTGAGAGTGTTAGTAAAAGTGTCAGTAAGAGTGTTAATGGGAGTGTTAGTGGGAGTGTTAGTGGGAGTGTTAGTGGGAGTGTTAGTGAGAGTGTTAGTGGGAGTGTTAGTGAGAGTGTTAGTGAGAGTGTTAATGGGAGTGTTAGTGGGAGTGTTAGTGAGAGTGTTAGTGGGAGTGTTAGTGAGAGTGTTAGTGGGAGTGTTAGTGGGAGTGTTAATGGGAGTGTTAGTGGGAGTGTTAATGGGAGTGTTAGTGAGAGTGTTAATGGGAGTGTTAATGGGAGTGTTAGTGGGAGTGTTAATGGGAGTGTTAGTGAGAGTGTTAGTGAGAGTGTTAGTGGGAGTGTTAATGGGAGTGTTAGTGGGAGTGTTAATGGGAGTGTTAGTGAGAGTGTTAGTGAGAGTGTTAGTGGGAGTGATAGTGAGAGTGTTAGTGGGAGTGTTAGTGAGAGTGTTAGTGGGAGTGTTAATGGGAGTGTTAGTGAGAGTGTTAGTGGGAGTGTTAGTGAGAGTGTTAGTGGGAGTGTTAGTGAGAGCGTTAGTGGGAGTGTTAGTGAGAGTGTTAGTGGGAGTGTTAATGGGAGTGTTAGTGAGAGTGTTAGTGGGAGTGTTAGTGAGAGTGTTAGTGAGAGTGTTAGTGGGAGTGTTAGTGAGAGTGTTAGTGGGAGTGTTAATGGGAGTCTTAGTGAGAGTGTTAGTGGGAGTGTTAGTGAGAGTGTTAGTGGGAGTGTTAGTGAGAGCGTTAGTGGGAGTGTTAGTGAGAGTGTTAGTGAGAGTGTTAGTGAGAGTGTTAATGGGAGTGTTAGTGAGAGTGTTAATGGGAGTGTTAGTGAGAGTGTTAGTGGGAGTGTTAGTGAGAGTGTTAGTGAGAGTGTTAGTGAGAGTGTTAGTGAGAGTGTCAGTGGGAGTGTTAATGGGAGTGTTAGTGAGAGTGTTAGTGGGAGTGTTAGTGAGAGTGTTAGTGGGAGTGTTAGTCAGAGTGTTAGTGGGAGTGTTAGTGAGAGTGTTTGTGGGAGTGTTAGTGAGAGTGTTAATGGGAGTGTTAGTGAGAGTGTTAGTGGGAGTGTTAGTGAGAGTGTTAGTGGGAGTGTTAATGGGAGTGTTAGTGAGAGTGTTAGTGGGAGTGTTAGTGAGAGTGTTAGTGGGAGTGTTAGCGGGAGTGTTAGTGGGAGTGTTAGTGAGAGTGTTAATGGGAGTGTTAGTGAGAGTGTTAGTGAAAGCGTTAGTAAGAGTGTTAGTGGGAGTGTTAGTGAGAGTGTTAGTGGGAGTGTTAATGGGATTGTTAGTGAGAGTGTTAGTGAGAGTGTTAATGGGAGTGTTAGTGAGAGTGTTAGTGGGAGTGTTAGTGAGAGTGTTAGTGAGAGTGTTAGTGAGAGTGTTAGTGAGAGTGTTAGTGAGAGTGTTAGTGAGAGTGTTAATGGGAGTGTTAGTGAGAGTGTTAGTGAGAGTGTTAGTGAGAGTGTTAGTGAGAGTGTTAGTGAGAGTGTTAGTGAGAGTGTTAGTGAGAGTGTTAGTGAGAGTGTTAGTGAGAGTGTTAATGGGAGTGTTAGTGAGAGTGTTAGTGAGAGTGTTAGTGAGAGTGTTAGTGAGAGTGTTAGTGAGAGTGTTAGTGAGAGTGTTAGTGAGAGTGTTAGTGAGAGTGTTAATGGGAGTATTAGTAAGAGTGTTAGTGAGAGTGTTAGTGAGAGTGTTAGTGAGAGTGTTAGTGGGAGTGTTAGTGAGAGTGTTAGTGAGAGTGTTAATGGGAGTGTTAGTGAGAGTGTTAGTGAGAGTGTTAATGGGAGTGTTAGTGAGAGTGTTAGTGGGAGTGTTAGTGAGAGTGTTAGTGGGAGTGTTAGTGAGAGTGTTAGTGGGAGTGTTAATGGGAGTGTTAGTGGGAGTGTTAGTGGGAGTGTTAGTGAGAGTGTTAGTGGGAGTGTTAGTGAGAGCGTTAGTGGGAGTGTTAGTGAGAGTGTTAATGGGAGTGTTAGTGAGAGTGTTAGTGGGAGTGTTAGTGAGAGTGTTAGTGAGAGTGTTAGTGAGAGTGTTAGTGAGAGTGTTAATGGGAGTGTTAGTGAGAGTGTTAGTGAATGTGTTAGTGGGAGTGTTAGTGGGAGTGTTAGTGAGAGCGTTAGTGAGAGTGTTAGTGGGAGTGTTAATGGGAGTGTTAGTGAGAGCGTTAGTGAGAGTGTTAGTGAGAGTGTTAGTGAGAGTGTTAGTGAATGTGTTAGTGAGAGTGTTAGTGAATGTGTTAGTGAGAGTGTTAGTGAATGTGTTAGTGAGAGTGTTAGTGAATGTGTTAGTGAGAGTGTTAGTGAATGTGTTAGTGAGAGTGTTAGTGAAAGTGTTAGTGAGAGTGTTAGTGGGAGTGTTAGTGAGAGTGTTAGTGAATGTGTTAGTGAGAGTGTTAGTGATTGTGTTAGTGAGAGTGTTAGTGAAAGCGTTAGTGAGAGTGTTAGTGAGAGTGTTAGTGAGAGTGTTAGTGAGAGCGTAAGTGAGAGCGTTAGTGAAAGCGCTAGTGAGAGCGTAAGTGAGAGCGTTAGTGAAAGCGCTAGTGAGAGCGTAAGTGAGAGCATAAGTGAGAGCGTAAGTGAGAGTGTTAGTGAAAGCGCTAGTGAGAGTGTTAATGAGAGTGTTAGTGAGAGTGTTAGTGAGAATGTTAGTGAGAGCGTTAGTAAGAGTGTTAGTGAGAGTGTTAGTGAGAGTGTTATGCGAGTGTTATTGAAAGTGTTAGTGAAAGCGTTAGTGAGAGCGTTAGTGAGAGTGTTAGTGAGAGTGTTAGTGAAAGCGCTAGTGAGAGTGTTAATGAGAGTGTTAGTGAGAGTGTTAGTGAGAATGTTAGTGAGAGCGTTAGTAAGAGTGTTAGTGAGAGTGTTAGTGAGAGTGTTATGCGAGTGTTATTGAAAGTGTTAGTGAAAGCGTTAGTGAGAGCGTTAGTGAGAGTGTTAGTGAGAGTGTTAGTGAGAGTGTTATGAGAGTGTTATTGAAAGTGTTAGTGAAAGCGTTAGTGAGAGCGTTAGTGAGAGCGTTAGTGAGAGTGTTAGTGAAAGCGTTAGTGAGAGTGTTAGTGAGAGTGTTAGTGAAAGCGTTAGTGAGAGCGTTAGTGAGAGTGTTAGTGAGAGTGTTAGTGAGAGTGTTATGAGAGTGTTATTGAAAGTGTTAGTGAAAGCGTTAGTGAGAGCGTTAGTGAGAGCGTTAGTGAGAGTGTTAGTGAAAGCGTTAGTGAGAGTGTTAGTGAGAGTGTTAGTGAAAGCGTTAGTGAGAGTGTTAATGAGAGTGTTAGTGAGAGCGTAAGTGAGAGCGTTAGTGAGAGCGTAAGTGAGAGTGTTAGTGAGAGTGTTAGTGAGAGTGTTAGGGAAAGCGTTTGTGAGAATGTAAATCTGCACAATACTCTTTCCAATTAGGTTTTATGTGTACACACTTTCATGTTCTTTATTCACTGTCCAAGTCTGACACTGATAGCACAAGGTTGGTAAGAAGATTGCAGTTGGTAAGAAGATTGCAGTTGGTATAAAGATTGCAGTTGGTATAAAGATTGCAGTTGGTATAAAGATTGCAGTTGGTATAAAGATTGCAGTTGGTATAAAGATTGCAGTTGGTATAAAGATTGCAGTTGGTATAAAGATTGCAGTTGGTATAAAGATTGCAGTTGGTATAAAGATTGCAGTTGGTATAAAGATTGCAGTTGGTATAAAGATTGCAGTTGGTATAAAGATTGCAGTTGGTATAAAGATTGCAGTTGTTATAAAGATTGCAGTTGGTATAAAGATTGCAGTTGGTATAAAGATTGCAGTTGGTATAAAGATTGCAGTTGGTATAAAGATTGCAGTTGTTATAAAGATTGCAGTTGGTATAAAGATTGCAGTTGGTATAAAGATTGCAGAAGGTGTAAAGATTGCAGTTGGTATAAAGATTGCAGTTGGTATAACGATTGCAGTTGGTATAAAGATTGCAGTTGGTATAAAGATTGCAGTTGGTATAAAGCTTGCAGTTGGTATAAAGATTGCAGTTGGTATAAAGATTGCAGTTGGTATAAAGATTGCAGTTGGTATAAAGATTGCAGTTGGAATAAAGATTGCAGTTGGTATAAAGATTGCAGTTGGTATAAAGATTGCAGTTGGTAGGATGATTGCAGTTAGTATAAAGATTGCATTTATTATTTGCCATTTTATCTCTGTTAGGATAGCGAGGTGTTTTAGCATTGGGTTCAGTGAATAGGTGACATTGTTGGCTTTTTTTTTATCAATCTCTCAGTCTGTTCTGCTATTATATTTAGAGATGCTCTCCAAGTATTTAACGTGTTAAACTTGTTTTAAACTGTGATCTTTTATCGTTCTGTCAATTGTTTGACTCACTCTTCAAAAATAAAAGGCATTAAGTTTGATCAATGTACGTATTTGGGCTGGCGTAAACATCTATCAACTCATAGGACACATACCTAGACCCAATATTCAGGAAAGTCCAGTGACTGTCGACGTGGCCACAGAGTACTCAGAGACAACATCCGGACAATTGGGTGAGGTACTCGCAGACAATAGCTGAACAAGTGGGTGCAGTATTTACAGACAATAGCAAGACAAATCGGCAAGGAACTCGCAGACAATAGCTGAACAAGTGGGTGCAGTATTTACAGACAATAGCCAGACAAATCAGCAAGGAACTCGCAGACAATAGCTGAACAAGTGGGTACAGTACTTACAGACAATAGCTAGACAAATGGATGAGGTACTCGCAGACAACATCTGGACAAGTGGGTACAGTACTTACACACAGTAGCCGGACAAGTGGGTACAATACTTACACACAGTAGCCGGACAAGTGGGTACAATATTTACACACAGTATAGCCGGACAAGTGGGTACACTACTTACACACAGTAGCCAGAAAAGTGGGTACTGTACTTACACACAGTAGCCGGACAAGTGGGTACAGTACTTACATACAGTAGTCGGACAAGCGGGTACAGTACTTACACACAGTAGCCAGACAAAATAACACTGTACTCACATACAATAGCCGGACAATAGGGTGCGGTACTTAAACACAATAGCCGGACAAAAGGGTGCGGTACTTGCACACAATAACCGAACAAGTGGGTGCTGTACTCACCATAAACACGATGTTGATGAGCATTAGGAGACATCGGATGATAGTTGTACACATTTTGTTGAGCAGTCAGACTTATATGTTCAGGGTAAGTTGTTCTTTTGTCACAGTTGTAAATTCAGGGTAAACTTTTCTTGTGAGAGTTGTACTTGCAAGGTCAGTTTTTATTTTCTCAGAACTGTACTAGCAAGGTAAGCTGTTCTGCTGTCAGAGTGATGTGCCCAGTGAGCTGTTCTGCTGTCAGAGTGATGTGCCCAGGGTAAGTTGTTCTGCTGTCAGAGTGGTGTGCCCAAGTTGTTCTGCTGTCAGAGTGATGTGCCCAAGTTGTTCTGCTGTCAGAATGATGTGCCCAGGATAAGTTGTTATGAGCTTAGATTTCTACATCCAGGGCAGGCTGCTGTGTGACTAGAGTTGCAAGTCCAGAATAAGTTATTCTGTAACAAAAGTTGTAAGTCTAAGGGTATGTTATCCATAAATCAGTTATAAGGACAAATTTGTTCTGTAACGAGAATTTTAAGGTAACCTTTCTTTAAACAGTGTCCTAAGTCAAGGATAAGTTGTTCTCCAACCAGAGTTTTAAGCCCATGGTAAGTTGCTCTATAACCAGAGTTGTGAGTCCATGGTAAGTTGCTCTATAACCAGAGTTGTGAGTCCGTGGTAAGTTGCTCTATAACCAGAGTTGTGAGTCCGTGGTAAGTTGCTCTCTAACCAGGATTATTAGCTCAAGGTAAGTTGTTATGTGACTAGATTTGGGCTAACTGGAATTGCAAGATGAGAAGAAGTTTTTGGAGAGTCAGAGTCCCGTTTACGTGACATTGTTTAACAGAGTTCCAGTTCTTGGTCAGTAAATAAATAAAGGTTCAGCCTTACCAGAACCGCACAGCGAGCAATAAACACACAGTGACACAAAGTGCCGCTATTAGGACGAAAATCACCCGGGCGTAGGTCCCAAAAACCTCATTTAACCGTTGGATAATATAGGGGCACAGGACAGCATACGGAGTGGGGCTTTAAAATAACCATAAGATAATTCTTGGTCAGTGAGTTCTCATTCTTCTTCTTCTTCTTCTTCTTCTTCTTCTTCTTCTTCTTCTTCTTCTTCTTCTTCTTCTTCTTCTTCTTCTTCTTCTTCTTCTTCTTCTTCTTCTTCTTCTTCTTCTTCTTCTTCTTCTTCTTCTTCTTCTTCTTCTTCTTCTTCTTCTTCTTCTTCTTCTTCTTCTTCTTCTTCTTCTTCTTCTTCTTCTTCTTCTTCTTCTTCTTCTTCTTTGTCTTCTTCTTCTTCTTCTCCTCCTTCTTCTTCTTCTTCTCCTTCTTCTTCTCCTTCTTCTTCTTCTTCTTCCTCTGCTGCTGCTTCTTCTTCTTCTGCTTCTTTTTCTGTTTCTTCTTAGCATTCGATGGCTGGAAACTTCGGCGGAAAGTTCTGGCTGTTGCTCCAGTTTTGGCCGACATCCGTTTTACAGTTCTGCCTTATTTATATGCTGACTGTTGGTTCCTTGCCTCTCGAGCAGACGCATTCAGAATTTGAAGAACCCATTCATAACTAGTCGCCTGTTACGACATTCTTAGAAAATCGAACTGAGTCCTAGGAAATATGGGTATACAGAAGAATAGGTCATATTTCATGGAAACAAAAACACTCCAATACAAAAGAAGAGAATTACTGAAAGAAATAAAAAAAAAGAGAAAATTGAAATACTTCAACCACATTAAAAGACATAACACACTTTTAAAAACCATACTGGAGAGAAAGTTCGGAGGCAAGAGGTGGGCAACGATACATGTGGGAGGACAACATCAAGAGATGGATCGATAGCAATCTGAGAGAGGGAGTACAACCAGATCAAGAGACAGAGTGTGTTGGAGATTCATTGCAGCCAACCTTCACTGTGAAGACGGCACCTGATGGAAGACTGACGAGATTCTCGTTGGGACAGTTGGTCTATTTTCTGTTCTCTGAAACTGAGCCCCAAATCTCACAAGGGGAATTCATTCATGTATTGGTTAGCTTGTTGTATACTCTATTCTTACCTTAGCTTACTACTCAAACAAAGCCTGGTATATGATATTACAATGTCTAGTTTGAGAATGGAGGTGGAGGCAGTCACCGCTGCCTTCCCTTGGCTTGAAAATCAGCTGTACACACACATGCCATGATTGTAACTGACTCACAGAGCATGCTGAGAAAGGCGGAGACAGGCATGCTCTGTGCAAAGTGGCAAGCATCACTTCAGAGGTCCTGGTTAGTTAGAGTCCTTTGGATATTGTCTCCAGGTGATGCCGGTGTGTTGGGAAATGAGCAGACAGATAGACTGGCCGGTTCTGCACCACTTAGTGGTAAACTGATGTATGACAAGCTGGATGTTGTGAGGGCCCTTTGGGAGCGAGTGAACAGTACCCAGGCACAGATAGATCATTACGGTCTGAGGAGAATGGCACTGCGAGGAGTTACAAGGGGATCTGGCCGACGCTCAACACTCACTGGAAAGGTGAGACGGATATTCAATCAGACAGTTACTGGTACCATTGGAATTTTAACTCTTTGCTTGCTGCCGGAGATAGGGACGGAGCACTTATGGGGTGTCCCGAGTGCTGTTATATCGATTCTTAATTCAACATTCAACTTTAGCCTGCTCAGTGAAGCTGATTTTCCTTACATTTAAATAGTGATTTTGTAAGTTATAGACACACGCACAACACTGATATGGAGTATTATTATTATTATTATTGTTATTATTATTATTATTATTATTATTATTATTATTTATTATTTTGTAAAATACGTTCCATAAAGGACGGGTCACCGGGTAATCAAGTAGGAAATCTAGAGTTCCGGAAGGGTAATTGGGTGAAACAGACAAGTAGGTTAATTTATCTTTAGAGACATTGAGTTTAAATTAGTGTACTTTGTCACAAAGTTTAAAATAATGTACCGAGTCACAAGGTTTAAAATAATGTACCGAGTCACAGAGTATAAATCAATTTACTGAGTCCTAGGGTTTATATTTTGGACCGGGTCACAGGGTTTAAATAATTGTTTATATTACCTTAACTTGTCACTGGGTTTAAATTGAAGAATTGGGTCACGGGGTTTAAACTAATGGGAAGACACACAGGGTTTTAATTAATGCGGCGAATCACAGGGTTTAAATTAATGGAATCAGTCATATTAATGTGCTGAGTAGAGGTTTAACATACTGTGTCGAGTCAACCGGTTTAAATTAAGGCTGTTAGTCAGTGGTTCGAATTACTGTGCTAAAAAAGAAATGGGGTTTTTCACGAAGTACGGCCAAGTAGAGAACTGAACGTACGGAGTCAACGCCGTATTTGTGGAACAGTACAAGCCTTTGGTCGGCATCTGTGGCTTAGGGGTTGTGAACGCGCTTCATAACACCAGGCTACCGGGTTCGATTCCTACCGCGGCCGATTTTGAAGCAGACCGCCTTGCTTTGGTTTCGAGAGAAGTATCGCAATCTGATCGTTTAGTAAACAATGGCAAACTACTGAATGTAAAATTGCCTGGTGAAATTACAGCTAGAAAATGCTGGGGTTGGCTCGGTAAGATCCTCTATAGGATACGTAGTTAACTTTCTATGTGCGTATTCTACACGGCACAAAGACATTGGTAATATGTAGTTAACCCAAACATGTAGTCTACTTAGACACGACGTTCATCGCTAGATCATTCACTCACTGCACAGACAGACTTACTGTTCAGATAAAACCAAAAGACAGACAGTTCACATATTAAACTAAAAGATTTACTGAAGACCACCCCCTTTCCCAAAACAACAACTAAGACTTACTGTACATATCAAACAAAAAAAACAGTCCTTTCGAATAGATCAAACTAAACAACAGGCATATCATATAGGTCAATCAAAATGACAGTTTTATCGTACAGATCAAACAAAATACAGACTTACCATAATATCATACTAAAAACCAGTCTCTTACCATACAGCTGAAACTAAAATACAGACTTAGGGTAACATAAAACTAAACGACAAAGTTTTCGTACAAATTAAACCAACAGACAGACTTATGGTACAGGTCAAACTAAGCGAAAGATAAAATTAACTGACAGACTTACCTTAAGGATTAAACTAACAGACAGACTTATCACACAGATCAAAGTAAAAGACAGTCTTAATGTACACATTAAAGTAGATAACAGATTTACCGTAGAGATCAAATTTAAAAAAAGAATCCTACCATAATGATTACACTAGAAGGAAGACTTACCGTATTGATGAAATTAACCAACAGTTACCGTATCATTCAACTAAAATGACCCACCAGACCAATGAACCGTGTGTCTGTTTTCCGTGAACCTTCTTCTGCCAGGGCTGTTGATCAGTGTTTCAGCTGACACTAGGATATGGTTGACCTGAAAGCGCGCACAGGTGGGGACTTGGAGAGTTTCGATTGATTGGTTTACTGAGGTTTCGATTTTGCTGTGACTACAAGGGAGATGTTTGTGGGTGTCTCTCTTTGTGATTGGGTACGTTGATTTGTGCAGGGTTAGGCTTTTGTGTTTACGGGGCAGACTGAAAAGTCATACAAGGTAGACGAACAGACAGGCAAACAGAAAGGCAGACAGACAGAGAGACAGATATGTTGATAGGCAGGTGGTCAGACATATAAATTTATATATTTATGGAGAGAGAGACAGACAGACAGAGAGAGAGAAAGATAGAGAGAGAGAGAGAGACAGACAGACAGACAGACAGACAGACAAAGAAAGAGCCAGAGAGAGAAAGAGAGAGAGAGAGAGAGAGAGAGAGAGGGGGGGGGGGAGCAGGGTTGTTTCCCAGAAGAAAAAGATGGCGATACTCACTACGTGGTGTCTGCAAAGGTATCGATATTCACCAAAAAGTGTATATTACATCGCTGAAAAAATTTATATAAAAAGTGCTAGCACTGCGAATTGTTCCGTTTTCCCAGAAAAAGAAAGTCCTGACTGATAGACACATTTATAGACAGAAAAGCGGATTGTGGTTGTTGGGTAGACAGAGAAAGAGAGAGAGAGAGAGAGAGAGAGAGAGAGAGAGAGAGAG